ACTCACTTGGTAGCCCAGGCTGGCCTTGAACTCACAGAGATCCGCCTGGCTCTGCCTCCCGAGTGCTAGGATTAAAGGCGTGAGCCACAGCCGCCCGGCGTGTAATTTTATTTTAAAGGGATTGAGTCTCTAAGGCCATATTTTCCTCCAACTCTGAATAAAGACATTGTCTCTGTGGGGCTGGAGTTAAGAGCACTGTCTGCTCTTGGAGAGGACTCAGGTTAGATTTCCAGAACTCAAAGGGTAGCTCACAATCATTTATCACTCCAGTTCCAGGGAATCTAAGCCTTTCTTCTGGGTATATTGGTGAGGATGACTTTGAATTCCTGATTCTCTGCTTCCAGTTTCTAAGTGATGGGATACAGACATTGGATACCATGCCCTGTTGTGTGGTGGAACCCAGGGAGAGCCTGGGTAAATGCTAGGCAAGCATGCTACCAGCTAAGCTGTATCCTCAACCCCAAACTATAAGTAGATCTATATTCCTATCCTAATTTCTGTTTCCTAATTTTTTTGTAAAACTGGAAACTGAGGCAGTGGGTTTATTTTGACCTACATGGCCAGGAACAATAGTAACAATCGAATCAGACAATAATCATCAATGGATATCAAATTGCTGGCAAATACTTGTTGATAAACAATATTTAATTCATTTCAAAATATTTTCCCATAAATAATAAAGCATTATTGACAAATATGGCACACATTAACTCACACTGGAGAAACAGGCAGACATTATTTCAACTCAGCATAATCAGGAGTGGAGGATATTAACACTGTATACATCTTGAGAACACAATGTTGTTTCTGTACTTTCTGCACAAAAACATCATGAGGAAGAAATGTAGATATTTTCAAATGAAGGGTTAGTCTACAAAATATCTAGCCTGTCATTTTGAAAAGTATCAAGGTCATGAAGACAAGGCACAACTGATGAACTGTTCCCATCCCCACTCCTGGGTGGTAGGAATGAACCCAGCATCTTGTTCATGTTGGGGGCAGGGGTTCTACCATTGAGCCAGGCCCTTAGGCCCTTGCTGGGAGATTCTACATCCTGAACTTTATCACCTAGCCCTACCTTTAAAAGATATCATTCAAACTTTGAAAGGGCTTTGAAAATTATATGGTAATACAGGATTAATGTTAACTTTCTGATATTGAAAGTTGTTAACTGATTATGGAAAAGTGTGCTCATATTTAGGAAGTAGCTGAGCATGATAGCACCTAAATGCATTCCTAGTTATGTGGGAGGCTGAAGCAAGAGGATTATCATGACTCAAGAACAGCCTAGATTATGGGGTTGGAGATTTAGCCCAGTGGTAGAGTGCTTACCTAGCAAGCGCAAGGCCCTGGGTTTGGTCTTCAGCTAAGAAGAAGAAGGAGGAGGAGGAGGAGGAGGAGGAGGAGGAGGGGGGAAGAAGAAAAAGAAGAGCCTAGATTATATTGTAAGATCCTATCTCAAAAACCAAAAATGCAGGAGGGCGGGGGCTGTACTCAGTGGGTAGAGTGCTTGCCTAGCTTGCGTAAAGCCTGGGCTTCCATCTCCAGCATCAGATACCAAAGTGGTGATGTGATGCAGGCCTGCCATCCCAGTCCTCAAGAGATAGAGGCAAGAGCTGTAGCCCTTTGGCTACTCAGCAAAATAGAGGTCAGCCTGGGATACATGAGATCCTGTCACAGACAAAAACAACAAAACAAGAATAAAAAAAGATGGATAATGTATAGCCCCATAATGGCAATATGTGTATCATTGTAGATCAAGTGTATATTTAGAGAGATAGAGGCAAGGGGAATACTATAAAGGAACCCCCCCCCCAGAAGGATTACATAAGTTATTTTGAATCAGTTATCCTTGGAGATAGTGAACAATAACAAATAAGTGGTGTCAATCTGAGACAGTGCAAACGTTGTTCAGCAGATGTCCTTGCATAAACATTTTTGTAAAGTTCCAATGTCCTCTGTAATCACTTTTGTTATGGTTGTTATGGAGGCATGGATGAGTGAAATATCCTCTTTTATAATTTCTGGTTTTTTTTTTCTGTTGTTTGTTTTTGATGACACAGGGTTTCACTATGGCTGTTTAGAGCAGGCTAACCTCCAACTCACAGAGAGTCGCCTGCTTCTGCCTCTGAAGGCTGGGATTGAAGGCCTGTTCCACCACACACATTCAGCCTTTTAAACTCTTTTTTTCTTTTTTTTTGGTTCTTCGAAATAGGGTTTCTCTGTAGCTTTGGAGCCTGTCCTGGAACTTGCTCTGTAGACTAGGCTGGCCTTGAACTCACAGAGATTCACCTGCATCTGCCTCCCAATAGTGCTGGGATTAAAGGCGTGCATCACCACAATGCGGCTTTAATTTTCTTCTTTCTTTCTTTCTTTCTTTCTTTTTTTTCAAGACAGGGTTTCTCTGTCGTTTGGAGCCTGTCCTGGAACTTGTGCTGTAGATCAGGCTGGCCTTAAACTGCTTTTTACTATTGCTGCAGGAACTGAACAAAAGTGACTCCACATTGTTTCTGATGTTAATACTCAAAAACAGTTACTAAAGTCAGGTGTGGTGATTCAGGAGAGCCATGCCCACACTTAGAAGCAGGAGTTCAAGGTCATCCTTGGATCAATAGCCTGTTTAAAGCCAGATTGGGCTTCTTGAGAGCCTGTATCAAAAAAAGAAATCAAACAAAAACAGCAACAAAATGGAGCTTAGGGGTGTAGCTTGGCGCTAGAGCACCATGAGGCTCATGGCTCCATCCAAAGCTGGAATAGTAATAGCAATAAATAATGAAAAGTGAGGGTATGATAACACATGCTTGTAATCTTACACTTGTGAGGTAAGGCAGCACCTGGGCTACATAGCAAAACCCTGTTTCTAACAAACAAACAAAAAATGATTTAATAATTGCTAATGTTTGTCTCACAATGTTCATATTAGTTAATGTGTCCCCAGGGTCCTGAACAGTACTGGACCATAATAATGCTACCTTATGAATTTTCTTTTGTTGTTGTTGTTTGTTTCTCTTGATATAGTCTTGTGTAGCTCAGGTTGGCCTCAAATTTCCTATATAATTGAGGGTGACCATGAACCTCCTGAGTGCTGGTATTATAGGCATGTACCACCATGTCCAGATTATATGGTGCTGGTGATCAAGATCAGGGCTCTGTGTATGCTAGGCAAGTTCTACTAAGTGTTGTATTTTTATTTGTTCGTATGTTTGTGTGTCTGAGTGTGTCTCTGTGTGTGTGTGTTCAAGTAGAACAAACAAGTTTGTATGCATGGGTATCTCTTTTTTCACCTTATTCTCTTAAGGCAGGGTCTCTTAGTGAAACTAGTACTAGATTGACAATCAGTAAGCCCCAGCCACTCTCATGCCACTCATAACACTAGGGTTACAGGAGTTCAAGGCGTCATTCAGCCTTTTTTATGTGGGTTCTAGGAACTTTAACTCAGATCCTCATGTTTGCCAGGCAAGAGCTCTTGCCCACTGAGCCGTCTCCACAGCTCTTTCTACTATCATCTCTTGATCCATTTGTTTGTTTGTTTGTTTTTGAGACAGGGTTTCTCTATGTAGCCACCCTGGCTGTCCTGGAACTGACTATGTAAACCAGGCTGGCCTCAAACTCACAGAGATCCACCTGCCTCTGCCTCCTGAGTGCTGGGATTACAGGTGTGTGCCAACACTGTCCAGCTTCTTGCTCCATTTTTAAAAAATGTATCTCTTGCATGAATGAGTTACGAATAAAAGATGTTGGCTTTAGTCTCCTCCACAGCCCACAGCACCCTAACCCTTCTGGGCTGGTTTAGTGATCATACTATCTCTCCTTACCCTAGGATTGGTAAGTGTGATAAGGACGAATGCCTAGCACATACGAAGCTCTTGATTCCATTCTAGCACCCCACAGCACTGGGAAAGTGGAGGACAGAGCATCAGAGGTTCAAGGTCATCCTCCGCAATAGAGTGAGTTCGAGACTAGCCTGATCTACACAAGACTTTGTTTACAAAATAACGGGGAAAAAAGAAGCGTAAAGAAGTCACTTGCCAAGTGTCGCGTTCAGTTTTGTGGCGGAGTTGTTTACTTAAGTGCGCCTTTGTTCTGCAGCAGGCGCTGGCAGCAAGTCTAGAGCTTGAGCTTGGGTTGGGGAGGAGCCGGGATGAGGCGGGGCCCATTCTGGGGGCGGAGTCAGAACACGGCAGGGGCGGAGCCAGAAGCTGCGACGCCGCGGGGCCTGGACCGCCCAGGACGTCCCCGTAACTGCAGGCCCCACCTCCTGGGGCGTGACGTGCACGATGATTGGTAGATGTGGTTGAGAGGCGGTCTCCATTGGTTCGCCGCGCTGTCCGCTCGGCGGGCGGTGCCCGGACGCAGGTGCCGGCCGGAGCGGAGCAAGCAGCTGCAGACGGGCCGGGCCGGGCCGGGACCCAGGCCAGGGAAAACCGAGGGGCCTGCGCGGCCGCCCGGCCCGGCCGCAAAACAGGTAGGCACGGAACAGCGGGTCAGGTCCGAGTATGCAGATGGGTCCAACTCGGTTCCGGGTTCGAGGCTCCGGCTCAGTACTCGGGCGGAACAGCTAGGTCTGCACTCTTGGCCTCGACCCTGCTCGGGACGCAGGCACCTCGGTTTTTATTTCGGGGCTGGTGAGAGGTCTCGGTGCCTCAGCGCGCAGCAAGAACCTCCGTGAGCCTCGGTTTCCCCATCTGTGAAAAGTGGGTCATCCCGGAGCCAACCTGATTTAGGAGATGGTTGATGAGGAAAGCGCCAGGCATACAGTAGGTGGTTAATAAGTGGCTCATGTCACTCTGTAACCCTCTGTTTGGATAATAATTAACATTATAAAGAGTTGGGCGCTTCACAAAAAAGCTACTCAGAGTGCAGAGCACTGAAATTGTTGTCTTTCAAACGCTAGTCAGGGACTGCCAAGATGGCTCAGCTGCCCAAGGTGCTTGCCTGAGTTCTGTCTCAAGGTGTCATGGTGAAAGAAAAAACTGACTCTAGAAAGTTGTCTTTTGAACTCCTTAGGCACACCCTTGCATGAGTACGCCCACTTGCATATGACCAACTGCATATGCACAAACACACACACACACACACACACAATAAATAAAATTGAAAACACTTTTTAAAAACTCTGTAGTCAGAATTTATGTGGTTAGTGGGAAACATACGAGGTGGAAATACTAAAAATAATTCCTCTCGTCCAAATGAGCAAATTGACACTCAGCAAAGTTTAGGCTGTTGCCCGAGGCCGCACAGTAAACAAGAAGCAGAGCTTCTGGGATTAGAATTCAGTTTCTGGACTGGAGATGTAGTTCAGTACTTGCGTAGCAAACACTAGGCCAATCCCCAGTACACACACACACACACACACACACACACACACACACACACACACACACACTCCAAAATAAAAAAGACAGATGGGGCCCAGAAAAACAAATTAGCTTGAACCAGGACATACAACATCAGAGGCAGAGCCAGAATAAAGCATGTAGGTCATGGGCTATGGTGGCACATATCTATTGTTATCTCAGGTACTCTGGAGGCTGAGGCAGGAAGAGTTCAAGGCCTGACTGGGTCACTTAGTATAACCCTGGTTTTGTTTAGTGCTTTCTTTTAAATTTTAACTTATTTTTTATTTTTATTTTATTTTGTTTTTGAGACAAGGTCTTACTATATAACCTTGTCTGTCCTGGAACTCCATATGGAGACCAGGCTAATTTTGAATTCATAGAGATCCAACTCACTCTGCTTCCCAAGTGCTGGGACTAAATGTGTGTGCCACCATGCCTGGCTAGTTTTTAATTTATGTATGTGTGCCTGTATGAGTTTATGCCTATTATGTAAGAACCCTCAGAGGCTGGAAGAGGGTGGTGGATCTCCTGCAACTGCAGTTAAAGGCAGTTTTGAGCCACCATGTAGGTACTGGGAACCAAACTCAGGTCCTCTGCAAGAGCAGTAAGTGCTTTTAACTGCTGACTCATCTCTCTAGCCCCGTGATATTTTAAAACATTTGTTCATTTATTTATTTGTTTTGTTTATGTGTAAGTTTGTGAGCTCTCACTCACTACAGCACATGTAGAGATAAATCATAAGACAGCTTTTGAGATTCAGTTCTTTCCTCCTACCATGTGGGTTCTGGGGATTAAACTCAGCTCATCAGACTTGGTGGTGGCAAGCATCTTTCCCTAAGGAGCCATCTTACCAGTCTTTAAAATAAAAAAAAAATTTTTTTTTAAAAAAACTTTATTTTATGTGCATTGGTGTTTTTTGCCATGGGTGTCAGGTCCTCTGGAACTGGAGTTACAGATAGTTGTGAGCTGTCATGTGGGTGCTGGGAATTGAACCCAGGTCCTCTGGAAGAGCAGGCAGTGCTCTTAACCACTGAGCCATCTCTCCAGCCCCTAAAATAAAATTTTTAAAAAATTAAAAGAAAACCCTGGAAGCTGGGCATGGTGGCACACACCTATAGTCAGTCCAAGCATGTAGGAGCATGAGCATGGTGACTGCTGCAGGTTTGAGTACAGCCAGGGTCACATAGCCATAGAGTCCCTAAGACTCTAGGTGGAAAAAAAAAAGAGTCTGGAATGTAGCTCAGTGATATTCAGGGTTCAATCTTTAATATTACACATTGGGGGAGGGGGCGGTGGTACTCATGAAGTCTGGTACCTTTTCCTGAGAATCTATAGGCAGTTTTATGGTTGCTGAGGGAGGGAGAGACATTCTCTTTAATGATGTGATCACTGGTAAGGTGCCCAGACTCCAGAAGTAAACCCTTTCCCATGCCCCTTGTTGGCTCACTCCTTCCAAAAAAAGTAAACACAGAATCTGAGTGTGATGGTGGCTGCCTGTAATCCCAGCACACAGGAGGCTGAGGCAGGAAAATTACCAAGAATTCAAGGCCAGTGTGGGTTATGTAATGAAATGCTGTTTCAAAAGTGAAGCAAACAAAGGAACAAATACTAGTGGCTGGTTTTTGAATACTTGTTGAGCTGGGCAGTGGTGGCCCAGACTTTTAATCCTAGCACTCATGAATCAGAGGCAGGCTGATCTCCGTGAGTTCAAGGCTGACCTGGTCTACAGAGGGAGTTCTAGGACTGTTACACAGAGAGACTCTGTCTCAAAAAAAAAAAAAAAAAAAGAAAAAGAAAAAAAGAATCCTTAGTGCTCTTGCAGAGGACCTAGGATCAGTTCCCAGAACCTTCCTGGTGGCTTACAGCCATCTGTAACTCCAGTTTTAGGGAATCCAACTCCTTCTGACCTTTTCAAGCATTCACTGAACACACATAGTGAACTTATGTGCATGCGGGCAAAAACTCATACATATAAAATAAAATGAATAAATAAAATTAAATAAGTCAACAAAAAGAACTAGTGTCTCTTGAAGACCAGATAACTCACTGTACAGTTTAAGTTTAAATCCTGGCTCTGTCTCTTTCCAACTGTGTGACCTTGAGTGAATAGGCATCCCTTCTGAACTTTGGCCTCGTCTTCAATCAGTGAGGCTAATTATACTTTGGTTGTGAAAACCTGATGAAAGCCTTAGAACTGTTTCCCATTATAGAGACTGGCAGGCTAGCCTCTAAGGCTCATCTAACTGATTCTTCCAATTTGTTACAGAGTTGGGAATGAGAAATGAATACAGCAATACTGAGTGCAATCACTCTGTGCTAGATCTAGGGCTGGGTGCTAGGGACAGCAAGAAGAATGTCTGACAAAGTCCCTCCTTTCCAGAGTCACTGAAGAGAATGAAGACAGGCATGACAGGTTCATTAACAAACATTTCAGAAAGGACCCCATGCTATGAGGTGTCTCTTTAGCCATAGTGGTCCAAGAGATGTACTCCAGGGATGTGATCTTTGAAGGAGACACTTAATAACAATTGTTTGAAGTTTGAACGTAAGCAGATAGCTTGGCAATCTAATATTTTGTGTGTATTGTTTATTTTTGAAACAGGGTCTCCTGTAGCCCAAACTGGCCGCAAACTCAATATATAGCTGAGGATAACCTTGAACTTCTAATCTTCCTGCTTGCATGTCCTAAGTGCTGAGATTATAAGTGTGTACCCCCATACTCAGTTTTATAAGGCCATAGGGAGCAAACTCAGTGCCTTGTGCATGCTAGATAACCATGCTACCAGCTGAAACACAAGCCCAGCTTCAGTATCCAGTGTTTAATACATTTTTGCTGATGTTACTTTTTAAAAATTTATTACATTTTGTGTGTATGTGTGTGTGTGTTTTCTCTTCTACCATGCAGGTTCTAGGAACAGAACTCAAGTCATTAGTGCCTTTACTTGCTGAGCCATTTTACCTGCTGATATTTGTTTTGTTTTTTGAATCGAGGTCTCTTGTAGCCCCACCTGATCTCTAGCTCTTTCTGTAGCCAAAATAAGCATGAACTCTTGATCCTCCTGCCTCTGTGTTTAGGATGCTTGTGCATGGCTTGTGCTACCATGACCAACATTTCTATGACTATTTTAGCAATTTATGGACTAGTATGAGCAGATTTACTAGTGTTGGTGGACTTCCTCCCAATAGTAGGTAAAGTAAGGAATTGTGATGATTCTTTTTTTTTTTTTTAAGATTATTTATTATGTATATAGTGTTCTGCCTGCTTGTATCCCTGCAGGCCAAACAAGGGCATCAGATCTCATTACAGGTGGTTGTGATCCACCATGTGGTTGCTGGGAACTGAACTCAGGACCTCTGGGAGAGCAGTCAGTGTTCTTAACCCCTGAGCCATCTCTCCAGCCCCATGATGATTCTTGTAAGCACAATTGTTGGTATAAATTCTAAGATCTGTCATCTTCTAAAACTTGGAAGACAGAGGCAGGTGGATCAAGAGTTCTAGCCTGAGCTATATAGTGAGACCCTGTCACCAAGAAAAGGGAGAGAGAGAGAGAGAGAGAGAGAGAGAGAGAGAGAGAGAGAGAGAGAGAGAGCGCGCGAGCGAGCGAGCGAGCGCGAGCACGAGTGAGCACTGGGAGTGTAGTTCAGTTGGTAGAGTATTTACCTAGCATGCACAAAGCTCTGGGTTCCATCTCCAGAACTACAATACACCAAACATGGAATTCCTGAAGTGGGAGTATTTGGAAGATGAATTTCAAGAGTTCAAGGTCAGGGCTGCAGAGATGGCTCAGGGTTAAGAGCACTGGGTGCTTTTCCAGAGGACCTGGGTTCAATTCCCAGCATCCACATGGTAGTTCACAACCATCTGTAGCTCCAATTCTAGGGGATCCGATGCCTCTTTTTGCCTCACAGGCAGCAGCTGTACATGTGGTACATAGATACACATGCAGGCAGATACACATAAAATAAAATATAAACAATACAATTTAAAAACATTTAAAATGATAGTTCAAGGTCATCTTCGGTTAAATAGTGAATTCTAGAAATCCTGTCTCAGAAAAAAAAGAAAAGAACTGAAGAAAAGGAAAAAAATCTAAAACAAATCTTCAGAGGTCGAGATGGACTTTTTTCAGCATCCGTTCTCTCAGAGGGCCCAGCACTTCCCCACTGACCTCTCAACTGTACATGCTGGTTGACAGAACATCAGTGTCCACAACAAGGCAGTCCTGGCCGATGCCCTATGGCTGTTATCTTAGGTTCTCAGCTTTCCTCATGGCTGTCTGACTTTGGTTGATACTTGCTTATCTGACCTATGGTGGCTCAGCTATGGAGGCCTCGGAGGTCGTGCTGGGTTTTTAGCTGAGCTCCTCAGGGAAGAGCTGGTCTGTCAGCTGTCTGGGTGCAAAAAGTCAGTTAATCATTTACATTCCATGTATTTTAGGTCTCTGGTTTTCACAGGCAGGGCTGGTAAGAGTTGACTTGGGGCGGAGCTGGCCCTATCAGTTGGAACTTACAAATACTATTAGGGTTGCTGTGGGCTCTGGATTTTACTCTTAGAGACAAGAGTCTTAGATGTTGGACAAATTAAAACCAGTGATCTTTGGCTCTGGATTGATGTCTTAAGTAGCCTTCTGTTCTTTCAGGGATTTCTCAGAAGAGTCAGGCATGATGCCACAGTCCTATGACCTCAGCTACTTGAAGAGCTGAGGCAGAAGGGTCTTAAGTTCAAGGTCTGACTAGACTACAGACCAAGCTCCAGGCAAGGTCGGCCTGTGTAGCTTGGAGGTACTTTCAAATTAAAACATTACTGGACAGTGAGATAGATACCTCATAGAGTAAAGTGCTTGCCACCAAGCCTGATGACCTGAGTTTGAGCCCCCAAAACCCACTTGGTAGGAGAGAACTGACTCTTGCGAGTTATCCTCTGACTTTCACATGCACTCGGTGGCACATCCACTCTCTCCTCCATAAATGAACATAACAAAATTAATGAAAAAATTTGAAAATCAGAAAGGAAAAGTTTTAAAGTGTATGTGTGGGGGGGGGGCAGGCGCGGGGTGCAGAGAGCTAGGAGTGTAGCTTAGTGGCAGGGTGATTGCCTGGTAAGGCTGGTCTCTAAGTTCATATCCTGCTACTAGAAAGGAAAAAACATTCTTAGAGAAAATTTACACAGAGATTGGAAAGCTGGAATTCCCTTCTTGCAACACTGGAGAAGAGGATGAGGCTGCATAGGGTTCCTTTTTGCTTATTGGACCCTGAGGCAGAGGGCAGAATTCCACCAAAGTCATGAAAAGCAGACTTCAGAGCGGTTTGCGGAGGTATTCACTATTTCCTGTAGCCTCTCTTTGGGAACTGAGGATAGAACAACTGGTCTTATGGACACATACATGTGTCATTTCCTTGACGAATTGAGATCTCCAAGAGTGCACAGTCCAACAGAGGCCATGAGTCACAAGGGGCCTGAATGACTCACCATTCTGATGCTGTGCAAAACACTGAGTTTCTAGTTCTCTATCTCCCTCCTCCCCCTGCCCTGCCCTGCCCTGCCCTGCCCCGTCCGTCTGTCCGTTCATCCGTGTGTGTGTGTGTGTGTGTGTGTGTGTGTGTGTGTGTGTGTGTGTGTGTGTGTGTATGTATGTGTTGGTTAGGAATTGAACCCAGAGTCTCACACATGCTAGGGCAGTGTTTTACTACTGTTCCATCTGTCACAGGCCCTCATTGGATTCTAGGCAGGTATTCTACTTCTTTAGTCATGCTTCCAACCTCTCTATATGCATTCTGTTTTCATTAAAGACAGCTTACTGTGTTTTTAGTCCTGTCTCAAGGATCTGGTCTTAGCTAGAACAAGATGATCCTGGCTGTGGAAAAAACTGAGTGAAGGGCCAGGCACACAGTAGGTGTGTTGTAGCTAGAGTTTTCCTGCCTTGCCCACAGTCAGGACAAATCTTTGTCACTCGCCAGTCCCACAGCCGCTCAGACCCAACCAAGTAAACACAGAGACTTATATTGCTTACAAACTGTATGGCCGTGGCAGGCTTCTTGCTAACTGTTCTTATAGCTTAAATTAATCCATTTTTACAAATCTATACCTTGCCACGTGGCTCGTGGCTTACCGGCATCTTTACATGCTGTTTGTCCTGGCGGTGGCTGGCAGTGTCTCTTTCTGCCTTCCTGTTCCTTCTTTTCTCCTCTCTGTTAGTCCCGCCTATACTTCCTGCCTAGCCACGGGCCAATCACTGTTTTATTTATTGACCAATCAGAGCAACACATTTGCCATACAGAACATCCCACAGCAGTGTGTAGTTACTTTCAATTGCTGTTCCATGTGGAAATGTAATATGGAGGCTGATTTGTAGCATTTGGAATTGGGGCCATGCCTGGCTTTTTCTAGAAGACTGAGAAAAAAATCCAACCCAAGCCCCAGCTGTCCTCAAAGCCTGGGCTAAGTTGGGTATATCACATAGAGTTCTCACATCTACATTTTACAGATGCAAATAGACATTCAAAGAGGCAAGTCTTAGAGTCCTGTCTTCGTGTCAGTTCTGTTGCACTGATAAAATACCTTGACAAAAGCAACTTAGAGGAGAAGAAAGGATTTATTTTAGCTCACAGTTCCAGGTTACAGGCCATCTTTTCAGGGAAGTCACAGCAGCAAGAACTAGAGGGCATTTGTCATATCACATTTATAATCAGGAACAGAAAGCAATGAATGCATTCAGGCTAGTGCCCAGCCCACGCTATCCTTTTCATTCAGTCCAGTGTGTAGCCCACCTTTGTTCAAGGGGGGTCTTCCCACCTCAACTAACCAATTAAGAAAATACCTAGGGCTAGTCAGTGGTGGCACACACCTTTAATCCCAGCACTCAGGAGGTGGATCTCTGTGAGTTCTAGGCCTGCCTGGTTTACATAGTCAGTTCCAGAACAGTCAGGGCTATACAGTGAAACCTTGTCTCAGGAAAAAAAAAAAAAAAATGAAATTGTCAACTAAAAAACAAACAAACCATTGATTAGGAAAAAAAAAAAAAAAAAAAAAAAAGGGCCTGGTGGTGGTGGCACAAGCCTTTAATCCTAGCACTTGGGAGGCAGAGGCAGGCGGATCTTTGTGAGTTCAAGGCCAGCCTGATCTACAGATCAGGTTCTAGGACTGCCAAGGCTGCACAGAGAAGCCCTGTCTCAAAAAGAAACAAAGAAAGGAAGAGAAGGCAGGGAAATACTTAGGTAGAAGGGACTCCAGATGTTTCAGCAGGTAAAAGCACTTGCCACCAAGCCTAATGACCTGAGATCAACCCTCAGGATCCATATTGTGGAATGAGAGAACTGACTCTTGCTAGCTGTCCTCTGACCTCCACATTCATGCTGTGCACATACATAAACGTACACAAGACAAACATAATTTAAAAAGAAAAAATCCCTCAAAGGCACAACCACATCCCAACCTAGTCTGGACAGTTCCTCATGAGAGCCCCATCCCACAACCACATCCCAACCTAGACAATTCCTCATGAGAACCGCTACCCACAACCACATCCCAAATAGTCTAGACAACTCCTCATGAAAGCCCCTTCTCACAACCACATCCCAGCATAGTCTAGTTCTTCATGAGAGTCTGTTCCCACAGCCACATCCCAACATAGTCTAGATAGTTGAGAGCCCCTTCCCACAACCATATCCCAACCTAGTCTAGACAGTTCTTCATTTCTCTGTGTAGCTTTGGAACCTTTCCTGGAACTCACTCTGCCTCCCGAGTGCTGGGATTAAAGATGTGCACCGCCACCACCCGGCTTCCCAGGTGATTCTTGATTGTGTCAGTTTGACAACTAAATAACCATCACAATCCCTGACAAGATGGAACTCAAGAGCCAGGCATGATCTAAAATCCACCATTCAGAAGTCTTAGATCTTAAGTTCCAGGCCAGCCTGACTATAGAGTGAGTTCAAAATAGGGACTCAGAGTCGGGAGACCACTTTGTAGGTAAAGGCCAGCTGCACAAATGTGAAGACTTTAGTTTACATCCCCAGAACCCATGTAAAGCCAGGCATAATAAGCCTCAATCCCAGTCCTTGTACTGTGAAATGGGAGGTGGGGACAGGAGAATCTCTGGAAGATGGGGAGTCAGCTGGCCTAGTGTACACAGTAGAAAACAAGAGACTCTGTCTCAGACAAGGTGGCAGACATGGGTATTCTCAGACCTTTGACCTCTACTCATGTGCCTTGGTACACACTCACTTGCACGTACACATACATTTGCAAGCACATGTATACAATACATACATACCTCAAAAAAGAAAAAAAGAGTAACCCAACTGTTACTGTGACTCATTAATTTTGCCTTTGATCTCTCTGCTGGCCTCCCCTCAGGCTCCTGGGACCATGGGCCTCAGGCCCTGAGGACAGACGGCTCCTTGTGGCCATGACGACAGGTGACTGTTGCCACCTCCCTGGCTCCCTATGTGACTGCTCTAGCAGCCCTGCCTTCTCCAAGGTTGTGGAGGCCACAGGCCTTGGGCCACCCCAGTATGTGGCACAGGTGACTTCAAGGGATGGCCGACTGCTCTCAACTGTCATCCGGGCTTTGGACACACCGAGGTGAGTAGTGACCATTAGTATCCTGGCTTTTGTCCATTTCTTTCTGGGTTGAGTGATTTTCTCCTAGTCTGAGGTTAGGTCCAGTCACTGAGAGAGGCAAAGGGGTGAACATGCTGGAGAGAAGAAGCCAAATACAGAGGTTGGAGAGATGGCTCAGTGGTTAAAGAACACTTGCTGCTCTTGCAAAAGATCAGAGTTTAGTTCCCAGCACCAACAATGGACAGTTCACAACTGTCTGCAACTCCAGCTCCAGGAGATCCACCACCCTCTTCTGGCTTCCTTGGGAACTTCCTCTCCACAGAGACAAATACTAAAGAGACTAAATAGTTGGGTGTGGTGGGACATGTCTGTAAATGGGGCTAGGGAGATGGGGCAGTTGATAAAGTGCTTGCTATGCAAGCTTGAAGACCTGAGGTTCATCCCTGGAATCTGTGTAAAAAGCTGGGCTTGGTAGCCTGTGTTATAATCCCAGGGAGAGACAAGCAGATCTCTGGAGCTCTCTCAGCCAGCCTGCCTTAATTGGTGAGTGCTAGGTCAGCCAGAGACCATTCTTTAAAAAACAAGGTGGACATCCCCTGAAAAGCCTGATGTTGACCGCTGGCTTTCACACACACATATACACATGCACACAGATAGAAACATGTACCAGGCTTTTTGTTTTGGGTCACCAACCAGCTCCAAATCATCACACGGAGTCTTCCTATTAGTTATAAATGTTCAGCCTTATCTTATGCTCGTCCCACTAGCTCTTATAACTTAACCTGTTTCTCTTCATCTACATTTTGCCTCAGGGCTTTTTACCTTTCTTTCCTTTTGCATACCTTACTTTCCCTGCTTCTCATGTCTGGCTGGCTGGTGGCTGCCTGGCTTCTGGCCCCAGGTGTGTCCCTCTCCTCTTCCCTCATTCTCTCCTCCTTCTCCTCTCCCTTGCCTAGATTTCTCCTCCTACTTATTCTCTCTGCCCACCATCCCTGCCTATTCCTCTCCTGCATTGCTGTTGGCTGTTCAGCTTTTTATTAGACCAATAAGGTGCCTTAGCAGGCAAGGTTAAACAAATGCAACACATCTTTACATAATTAAACAAATGCAGCAAAAACAAATGTAACACATCTTTACATAGTTAAATATTCCACAACAAGAACACACATCCACACACAAAACTTGAGTATGGAGACGCATGTTTATAATCCCAGAACTGGAGATGCAGAAAGAGGTTGATCCCTGGGACTTGCTGGCCAGCTAGCCTAGCCAGTGAAAGACCTTGGCTCAAAAAACAAGATAGCAGTCAGTGAGATGGCTCAGTGGGTAAAAGCCTGATATTCTATCTACTTTAGATCCCTGGGATGCACATGATGGAAGGAGAGAATCAACTCCTGAAAGTTAGCTTCTGACCTCCACATTGTGTGCATGGCACACACATACCTACCTGTCCACTCACGCACACAAAATAAATGAATAAAATGTAATTTTAAAAACAAGGTAGACATTCCTAGGCCAATGGGAGACTCTGTCTAATAAACAAGGTGGATGGCTCCTGAGGAATGAACACCTGAGGCTTCCACAAGCATGTGCACACACATGCATGCTCACCAGCACCCATCTATACACCTTACATGAATGCTGAGGCAAGAGGATTAAAGTTTAAGGCAAGCCTAGGCTACAGAGAGTGTGAGACCATCCTAGTCTACATAGCAATATCTTTTCTAAAATTTACTAATAAATGAACAAATTGGGGCTGGGGATATGGCTTAGTGATAGAGTGCTTGCTTAGTATGAGCAAATTCTCTCTTCAGCACTAAAATTCTAGATTATGGGAAATCTGAAGATCAAGTGTTGAAAGTTGATTCATGAACTTTTTCTTGAGGAGATATAAACAAATGCTTGCTTCCTCCCTTGATATTCCTAGAGACAGGACACCAATTACAAACTAAAGTACAGTTCCACCAAAGTCTAGGTGTGGAGACCAATGAGTTTACTGAGGTTACTTAGAGAGTGTGGGTGGGTGGTTACTTACAGGAGCATGGGTACCCCAGAAGAGCTGTATCACCAGAAAGTCTCACCCAGCATAGATGATGACTTCCCCATAGCACCATAGATAGAGTCCCCTTCATGAATCTCCCATGTTCTGTATAGTCTAGCAACTCTTAGACCACAAGATCATGTGTAACTGGGAAATTAATCGAATATAGTTAGCAGGGAGAGGTGCAGGAGGTGGTGTCTGGGGTGTCAGGGGAGGGTATAGTGACCCTCCCACCTCCTCTTTGTAGGAGGGAAGGCCAACAGTCAGCAGACTGGATCTTGAAGGTTGTTTGCAAATAGTCCCAGCTACTCTGATGAAGACAATGAGAGCTATCATGCCCAGAAGATAGGGCTTTACACCAGTGACCTTGGGCTTTGGAGAAGCAGTGCAGGGAGTGAGAATTGTGGAGAATAGTACCTGGGTTGAAACTCCTGTGGATACCTTTCTCCCCCCACCCCCAAGTGATCTGGAACAGATTTCTGGTCAGAGTATTCTGAGAATATGGTATTATGGTCCTCAGAATGCGGATTTTGCTGCCTCTGTCCATGATGAGGGTATGTTCTAAGGAGCCCACTGGAACTAAAATGATCATAAGCTGAAAATGCTGGGCTGGCAAGATGGCTCAGTGTGTAAAAAAACTGGCTACATGTGCCTGACAACCTGAGTTCAACACTTGGAACACACGTAAAGGTGGAAAGAGAACCAACCACAGCAAGTTGGGTGGGAGAGACAGGTAGATACTGAGAGCTTATTGGCTAGCATACCAGCCTAGCTAAAAATGCAGACTTCCAGTTCAGTGAGAGACCCTGTTGAGGAAGACACTTGACATGGTGCTCTGGCCTACACATGCATGTGCACAGGCACATGCACCTGTAACTCACATGTGACACACCACACACACACACACACACACACACACACACACACACACACACACACAGTGGTTAAAATTCTTCCAGGCCTTCCTTCCTTCCCCTCTCTTTTCTCTTTTCTCCTTCCCTCTCCCTCCCTTTCCTTCCTTTCTTCTTTTTTTAATCTCAAGACAAGGTTCCATGTAACCCATTCTTACTCCAAGCTTGTTATGTAGCTTAACTGGCCTTGAACTCCTGGTCTTCCTACCTCTGCCTTCTAGTACTGTGACCATAGATGTACGCCACATTGCCCAGCTTCCTTGGACTTTTCACTTTTTTTTTTCAAGACAGGGTTCCTCTGTGTAGTTCTGGCTGTCCTGGAACTCCCTCTGTAGACTAGGCTGGCCTCGAATTCACAGAGATCTACCTGCCTCTGCCTCCCAAGTGCTGGAATTAAAGGTGTACACCACCAGTGCCCAGCTGAACTTTTCCATATCTGTAAAGTGGAATCAAGTAAGAGCTTTCCTCCGAGGCTCATTGTGAGAATGAGATAAATGAAGCCCAGAATTGCACTTAGAATATAGCCTATAGCCACAGTTCTGGAACCAAGGGGAGCCAAGGGGAGAGGAACATCAGTTTGAGATTGACTTGTGAACCCATGTCCAGCCTGGGTTATGCAGTGAATGCAAGTGAGACCCTGTTTCAAAAAGCAAAACAATTGAGCATGGTTGCACACATACTTAGGAGGCAGAGACAGGCAGATTTTTGTGAATTCAAGGCTAGCTTCATCTATATAACAAGTTCCAGGCCAGCCAGGGTTACATAGTGAGACTCTGTCTCTAAATAAATAAAAATAAATAAATAGAAAAACAAAGTTAGGCATGGTGACACATGCCTGGCATCCAGGACTGGAGAAGTAGACACAGGAGGACCAGGATTTTAAGGTTATCCTCTGCTATGGTGGCAAGTTAGAGGCCAGTGTGGGCTACATGATACCCCGTCTGAAAACAAACAACAACAACAAAAAATAGGCTGAAGTCGGATGTGGTGGCCTATGTCTTTAATCCTAGCACTTGAGATCAGAGGCAGGCAGATCTCTATGAGTTTGAGGCTAGCTTGTTCTGCATAATGAGTTCCAAGACAGGGCTACATAATGTAACCATCTCTTGTTTGTTTGTTTTGGTTTTGGTTTTTGGTTTTTCAAGACGGGGTTTCTCTATGTAGCCCTGGAAACCATGTCTTAAAATAAATAAAAAGAGGCTCACAAAGATGATTCAGTGGGTAAAAGGCCTGCTATACAAGCATAAGGACTTGCGTTCAAATCCCCAGAATCCATGTAGAAATCCAGTCATGGTACTCAGGCCTGCAAACCTTGAGGTAGGGGTGGAGACAGGTGAAACTCCAGAAGCTCAGAGCAAGCCTGACACATACAGCACATATGAACATTGACCCTCCTCAAACAAGGTAGGAGTTTGTCCTCTGACCTTCACCCATGTGTCGTGACACACACATGCATACATATATATACATACATAACACTCATATAAGATAAATTAAACAATTAAACTAAATACCCCCCAAAGTGCCTGATACATGGGGAATGCTCAGTAAACCATAACTTGCTCCCTCTCTGCCTTTGTAAGAATTGCTGTTTCTGAGTTTCCAGGGCTTCCCAGAAGAAACTGAGCTGACGTGGCTCTTAAGAGTCTCACTACTAGCCGGGCGGTGGTGGCGCACGCCTTTAATCCCAGCACTCGGGAGGCAGAGCCAGGCGGATCGCTGTGAGTTCGAGGCCAGCCTGGGCTACCAAGTGAGCTCCAGGAAAGGCGCAAAACTACACAGAGAAACCCTGTCTCGAAAAA